TTACTTACTTACTTACTTACTTACTTACTTACTTACTTACTTACTTACTTACTTACTTACTTACTTACTTACTTACTTACTTACTTACTTACTTACTTACTTACTTACTTACTTACTTACTTACTTACTTACTTACTTACTTACTTACTTACTTACTTACTTACTTACTTACTTACTTACTTACTTACTTACTTACTTACTTACTTACTTACTTACTTACTTACTTACTTACTTACTTACTTACTTACTTACTTACTTACTTACTTACTTACTTACTTACTTACTTACTTACTTACTTACTTACTTACTTACTTACTTACTTACTTACTTACTTACTTACTTACTTACTTACTTACTTACTTACTTACTTACTTACTTACTTACTTACTTACTTACGTACTTATTTTACTCACTTACATCTGCTTCTCCTCGTGGAGAAGCATACATCGACTACCAATATTCTTTATCAAACTCTGTCCTGGTCAATTCTTTACACTTGTTCCCCGTTGCTGTTTATCCTTTTGATGTCTACTTTCAATTCTTGGAGTAGTGCATTCTTTCGTGTTCCTCTTCTTCATTTCCCTTCAGGATTCCAAGTTAGTGCTTCTCTCGTAATACAGTCTGTATTGTAATGTTAGGTAGTAACGTATGTCCTATTCACTTCCAAAATCTTTTCCTAATTTCCTCTCAAGATAGCAGCTGATTTGTTCTCTTCCATAGTAGGTTATTGCTGATGATATCCGACTATCGGATACTGAGTATCTTGCGCAAAAAATTGTTTATAAATACTTATACCATTTTGATGATGGTTTCAGTAGTTCTACAGGTTTCATCTCTCCACAATATAACTGACTGTCTCGACGTCCGTATTGAAGATGCTAGCTTTGATATTGGTTGACAGTTGTTTTGAGTTCCAAATGTTCTTCAGTTCTAGGAATGCTGGCCTTGATTTACCAATCCTTTTATTTACGTCTGAATCAGATCTTCCCTCTTCATCGATCATTTTGACCAGGTATGTGAATATTTCCACCTCTTCTAAAGCTTCCCCATCAAATGCAATTGCGTTGGTGTTCACCGTGTTCTATTTGAGAATCTTGGTTCTCCCGTTACGCATGTCGAGGCTTACTACTGTAGAGGCTGCTGTCTGTAGCTCTTCTAGAGTTACTGATTGTCCCAAGCCAGGGTAAAACAGAAGGTTTGGGCATAGGGTGTGTAAACTCATCCCGTGTAAAACAATCCTGTTCAAAAACAGCTAACCGCAATAAGCGAATTAAACCATTAGTGCTCATATTTCATTATGTTTGCATTTTCTAACCCCCCTGTCGAGCCTCTCTACAATCAACATGCCTTCATCAAAATTTTGTAGTGTTGAATTAGCTTTGACGTTAAAACGACTCATGGAGTTGTTTATGAATATATATGATTGACAAGCACTTAAACCAGACCTATTGAGGCGTACAAAGACGTGATTTGAATTTTATGTATATATATATATAGTATGCGGCATTCATATCCATAGATGCCGACTCAGTGCTCTAGAGGTTAAGCATTCGCGAGTGTCATCGAAAGTCCTAAGTTCGACTCCCACGTACAAGATTGTGGATGCTCACCAACAAAGAGTTCCATACTAGGACAGAACAGTCATCTAATGCTTCCAGTTATTCTAGTTATTCTTTGTAAATACAATCTAATATTTTTATACTTACGTTAATACAATCAGTTTTTGACACAAAAATTAAATATTTTATCTTGTAATAATACGGCAATAAAACTTCTATCATAGAAGAAGAAGAAGAAGGGGAAAAAAGAAGAAGAAAAATAGAATACTGACAAGATTGTGTATCTTTTTTCTTAGAAAAAAAGAAGAAAAAAAAAGGAAAGCCAAATTGGTTAAGTTTAGTCGTCAAAAAATTATTAATCATATAACGGTTTGTTTAAACTTATAACTAATCAAATATACAATTATTTGGCGCCTTAAATTAATTTATTAATATTCAATGAAAGAAGTATTCACAATAGTCATCATCATCATCATATAATAATAATAATCTGTCCTTTAAAGGAAGACAATTATCGATTAGTTCCATTGGTATTTCTTCTTTTACTCTTCAAATGTAGAGTTACAATAAGGTAACTAGTTATTTTATTTTATTTTTAAGGCTCTAATGGACTTCTATTGAATAGAATTAATTAGTTTAAATAAAACTAATCACTAATTCGTAATCATTTTGATTGTGTTAGTTAGTTAGTTAGTTAGTTAGTTAGTTAGTTAGTTAGTTAGTTAGTTAGTTAGTTAGTTAGTTAGTTAGTTAGTTAGTTAGTTAGTTAGTTAGTTAGTTAGTTAGTTAGTTAGTTAGTTAGTTAGTTAGTTAGTTAGTTAGTTAGTTAGTTAGTTAGTTAGTTAGTTAGTTAGTTAGTTAGTTAGTTAGTTAGTTAGTTAGTTAGTTAGTTAGTTAGTTAGTTAGTTAGTTAGTTAGTTAGTTAGTTAGTTAGTTAGTTAGTTAGTTAGTTAGTTAGTTAGTTAGTTAGTTAGTTAGTTAGTTAGTTAGTTAGTTAGTTAGTTAGTTAGTTAGTTAGTTAGTTAGTTAGTTAGTTAGTTAGTTAGTTAGTTAGTTAGTTAGTTAGTTAGTTAGTTAGTTAGTTAGTTAGTTAGTTAGTTAGTTAGTTAGTTAGTTAGTTAGTTAGTTAGTTAGTTAGTTAGTTAGTTAGTTAGTTATTTAGTTAGTTAGTTAGTTAGTTAGTTAGATTATAGTACAGACGGTTATCTATTGAAGAATTGTATCAGTACATAGATAGTCAGTTTGAAACTTTCGATCATGTTAAGTAGAAAGTAAGTTATGTAATAAAAAGAGAAATGAACTCAACAATTTATATCCCTAACACTTGTTCTCTTGTATTGATTATCAGATATTTTAGGGTGATGGGTTAAATGCAAAGAACATGTTAATATTAACATTATTAGGATAAACATTTCTTGATACTGTTAAAAGTCATAAGATATAGGTTTTTTAAGTAGAGATGAAATGCAGGACACACGTTCGTCCTATTGGATGTACCTGTATTTTAGAGTTGATGTTCACTCCGGGACTTGAATCCAGTACCGTTTGCTTCAAGTGTCATCAGGTTATCCACTTCACACATTTTGGATTTCACTGCTAGCCACTATCATCTCTTCCTGAATTGATTGTGAAGTACCCTATCAATTGTAGTCGTAAACACCAATGGCAAAATCCAAAAAACCAGTGTATATATTAATTAGAATTAATAAGGATATAGTATTTTTACTCATATGAACCATAACAATAAATTCTGTGAACTAGATGGTTATTTTGCTTACATATTTCTGTTACCACTCGAAGAGGAACATTGGATGGCCATCAACATTATCCATCCAACTCTACCCTGGACAATCCTTTGCAGTTATCTTCAGTTTGTTATTTATCTTTTTGATGTCTGCTTCCGATTCCCGGCACTGAACTAACGGTGTCATTTATTTAATAATGTAGATAGTAAGGAAATAAGTTCAGAATTAATCTTCTGATTGGCTGACTATGATTGTTGAATAAATATATTTCAATGTAATAGTTGAATTCACGAGTCAATTGAAGTCAGATCACCATGGAAAACCTGAAAGCACTGGACGGCCGTTACGTCCTAGTATAAATTTATCAGCATAAATTTCTTGTTAAACTATGTAGAGAATCATTCGTTTTATTGAAATGTGGATTAATTCTGAGTCAATTTGAATATATCGCCATTTTAAGAAATAGAAGTTACGTAATCAAAACTATAATTTGCCGATAGTCTTTATTGTAGACTAAACTGATAATACAATGAAATGTAAACACTTAATTCCGATTTGATAATAAATCTCAAATTATATTCACTTGGTATATGTTTGTTTGAATCTTCCCATTAATGTTCAGCATTGCACTTGATCAGTCTCTTATTGATATATGTACATTCTGTGCGTATTGCATAGATATTGAATTATACGCAAATATGGATAGTGGCTGACAGTGGGTTCCAGGAGGCGCGTTTCGTTCTACTGAGTTCAAGTTCCAGAGCAAACATCAATTCTGGGATCCAAGTACATTCAGCTGACGAGTTCCAAATAGGATGAAACACACGTCGTAGTTTCCACTGTTAACCGCCATCAATCTTTGTTTAAACCCCAAGTTATTTAAAGACTGTAAATAAAAACTTAACAACGAGAACTTCGTCTATACTATTTATCTTATTACTATTAGTACATGTCAATTAAATTGTACTTAATCAATGGAGCCAAACAATTTCTTTTCCTAGTTTTACCTACCACAAATTGTGCTAATTGAGTTATGATAAAATACAAATAATCATAGAATATATAAAACTACTTAATTTGTGGCTATTACCATAATTTGTCTTTGGTAGATTTTAAATGCAAAGATGAATCAGTCTAAATAAATACAAAGAAGTAGATGGATAGTGGTTACTAAGGTTACTTAAGTTTGTATTTTATAATCATTAAATAAAATAATATTTTGTTATATATATACATATATTTATATTTTGTAATTCACAATCGGTTAATGAATAATTGATCAATCACCAACGATTTCAACTTGGGTGCGACATTTAGGGACATTTTGATTTATGAACTATTCTCCAGGGTAATAGTTTTTTTGTTTTTTTTTTGTTTTTTTAGTTGGTTGATTGGTTGATTGTTGGAAAATACGCAAGAATCATGTCGTTAACCATACCAGAAAAAAAAAGGAAGGTATCTTGTCACCCCTTTCTCCAATTAACGAAGCCATTTTTGCGCAACATTTAAAATCAACCAATTAAAATGATGAATTTGTAAATTGGTAATTTATTAAATTAACCAATCAGAATTAAGATGAAGCCAAAGAGAGAGAGAGAGATTGGGAAAGCGAGAGAGAGAGAGAGGAAAAAGTGGGAATTTATTTTTTGTCTAAAAAAAAAATATTTATTCAAATATATGAAATAATTTTTATAATAAAACATCTTCATTGAATGATCTTCATTGTTATTTAATATAAAACAATCCATTAAACTAATTGAATGTCACGTAAACGACCATCATTTATGGTACATGATTTATTAAAAGAAACTGAAGTCACATTGAAACATTGGCAACATGAAGAGATTTTCAATTTTCCAACTAAAAAACAGGTTTTATTAGATGATAACAATGATGATGGTGATGATAATGTTGATGGGGATGATGATGATGATGACGATGATGATGATGATGATATCAGTCATAATATGGAAGAGATTGACAACTTCTCTAAATTGTATAGTAATAAGATAAATTTTATTAGTCAACAGTATAAATCTCATCATTCCAGTTTATTTAATGTATACACAAGTAATTGGGATAATTGTTTGTTTAGTGTAAAACATACAATACCATTGGATAAAGAAGGTTAGTTCAATGATATTTAAAAGTGATCTTATTTTATGAAATTATTAAAAGAGTATGAAAATCGTATTTAATAATTATAAGATGATATACACTTTTCAGCATAGAGTTGTGGAGATTATTAAGTTTTTGATTAAGATCATGAACTGATTGATATTGGACCACTATTGAAAACCTGGAAGCACTAGACAGCCGTTTCTTCGTATTGTGGGACTCCTCAGAATTGTGCATCCACAATCCCATATGCGTGATTCGAACAGGTATCTACCTCTGTACAATGGAAGATGATCGCACAATTTCGCGGATCGGTTGAAGTTAGACATTAATATTATTGGATGCCAGCTGGCTCGGTGGTCTAGAAGTTACGCATTCGCGCGCGAGACTGACAGGTCCTGGGTTTGAATCCTGCGGGCCGGATCGTGGATGCGTACTTCCGAGGGGTCTCATAATAGGATGAGACGGCCGTCCAGTGCTTCCAGGTTTTCAATAGTGGTCTAACATCAATCAGTTCATGATCTCAATGAAAAACCTAATAATATCAGACCTCATTTGACTAATTTGATGAGGATTTCTTGATATAAGTTGAAACTCGTTTAACTAACATCTTGACTCTACTGGTAATTCTTCATGACATCTATCCTATGAACAGAATCTAGGTGTATTCTTAATAAATCAACTATTTTTTCCCATTTTTGGAATACTTTTCACCACTTCTAAAAATTATTGATTGTGTTTTTAAAACTATTGGATGCATTTAGTTACTCATTTACTTACGCATGTTACTCTCAATGGGGCATAAGCCGCCCACCATCATTCTCCAACACACTCTGTCCTTGACCTTTCTTTCTAATTCTATCCAGTTGATGTTCATTCTCCTCATGACTATCTCCATTTCCCGGCGTAATGTTTTCCTTGGTTTCTCTCTCCCCCTTTGGCTTGTGGATTCCATGTGAGGGCTTGCCTTATAACACAGTTAGGTGCTTTCCTAAATGTGTGTCCTATCCACTTCCAGCACTTCTTCCTCATTTCTTCCTCCACTGGAATTTGGTTTGTTCTCTCCCTCAGTAGGTTGTTGCTAATAGTGTCTTGTCAACGGATCGGAAGTATTTTGTGGAGATAACTGTTAATAAACAGTTGTATCTTTTGGATGATGACTTTCGTAGTTCTCCAAATTTCCATCCCATACAGTATAACTGTGTTGATATTTGTATTGAAAATTCTGAGTTCGGTGTTGGTTGACAGTTGTTTTGAGTTCCGTGATACATATAGTAGTCATAATGTAATTAGAACATATTTCAATAAAGAACTTTTGCAATTGATCATCATATTTTGAGAATATCATACCTTCAACCACTTCTGTCATTGTTTGTTCTTATGTTAAAATGTATGTAACTGAATTGGATTTCATTTTTGATACTAAATTTTAATTACGATGTTTGAATGAACATTTTAGTGAAGGCCCGTAGTTTTGTTGTTGCTTAGATTGAACGATGTTATTCAAAGGGCTCTCCACTTATAGTGGCCCGTGGATCTGACTCCATTTAGATTGTAATGATGATTATTGTTGAAATATATATGTCACCTATCCTCGTATATAATCATCGACTTTAATCGCGTTAGTCAACAATGGAATTACATAAGTCGAATAACGAGAATGGACTTGTGAATACATATATCTTATATATGAAGCGAATGAAATAGAGCAAAGCAAAACAACGCACAGTGGAGATGGCTGGTAAGCCATCTCCATTTCTAGCCAGGCGTTATGCAATATTTATAGGCAGACAAAAATAAACTACGGACATGTAATAAGTCATGGCATATGAAATGTACACACATATACGCTCATATAAAAACAGTCAAGACTGATAAGCGAATAATTGACAAGGTCAACACATATGACTCAAGTAGAATGAATAAAATGGTTTGTCCATAAACTAGAATAAGGATATATTATAGGCTTAAAATAATGACTGACACTACAACATCATCCAGCTGATAGTATTTGAAAAACAAGCAACATTTTTACCATTTCAATTCACGAGCCGATCTAATCGAGATCACCATGGGAAAACTGGGCAGCAGTTTCGTCATAATATAACACACCTCAATAGTGCACATTCACAATTCCACACATCGGACTAGAATTCAGGATCTTCGATCCTACCAGTGAACACTTTACACTGAGCCGTCATTCAACAGTGTTCATGTATAACTTCAATCGATCCATGATCCTGTTCAACATTTCATCCATTGAGTGAGGTGGATAACTGACTCCTACTCGACACGGATTGAACTCCATTGGTTACACCTTCTCACTAGAACTGTAGGAAACCTTTCTCGAAGCTAATCACTAGTGAGTACATGATTATTATTATTATCAGAATGTGGATTTATGAAGATTGTAGCAATTTCAAGGTTCAATTCACGAGTCAATCTAAGCTAGACCACCATCGAAAGCCTGAAAGCATTGAACGGCCATTTCATTCTTGTACTGGACTCCCCTGCAATGTGCATCCACCATCCTATTTTCGTAACAAATAATAACGATATCATGGACATCCCTAATGAAGTACTATGTATTCTTTTTCCTTGAGATTACGTATGAACATATCAGGTGAGATGAATTTCTATGTTGACTCTTGTTACCACTTGATAAGTTTGTTACACAACTTAGTTGCTGAGCTTAAATAAAAGTTATAATTATACATCTTTCACAATGATAATTGATTTATCCGATAATTGGTTTCAGAATATTATCTAACCAATGAGACATTTTATATTGAATTAAACTTATCTTTGATAATTTAGGACTTGAAAGGATGATTGCTTTGTGAAAATACTGCAAAAGTGAAAGGAATCATCCAGTATCCTGAGATTGTAATGAATTGGACTATCGTGAAGTCTGTTCCAAAGTTCTTAGAGTTGTCTGTTTGAAATTTGAGACAAGTAAACATTTCGAACTGATGATGAAAATACTTAAACCCTGATTTAGTTTGATTTGTAAGATTTTATCAATTTGATGGTGGTTGAAGGCAATTGATGAAAGTCCTAGAACTAAATTTCTAAATAGTTGACACTCAATCAAATCTTGAGAAAACTGATTCTTCTTTTGCCTATATGACTTAAAAACCCCGACCGTTGTTGCTACCTTGACGTGGTGGTCGGGCTTGCCTATCGTGATGAAGCAACCGAGCTATACTGACTGGAACAACTGTTCCTCAAGGTCCTACCACGTCAGAAAGGTCGGTTGAAGAGCGGTAAGCAACAAACCCGAGGTCCGAAGGCGAAGTCGTACTGCTGACTGTACAGAGCTGTGACAGCAGCAAGGTGTTTCCTTCAGACAACCAGCATGGCAGCGATACCGCCTTCCCACAAGGAGGGGTGGGGTTAGAAAAGGTCGACTCTAAAAATGCACACCTCGCCTTATCCCACGGATATCCGTCTCCGGCGGTAAGGTTAATTCTGATCGATATTTTCACTATTCAGTCAACATGAAGTAACTATCTAGTTTAATGCAAGGAGATTCTTTCTTAAAACAAAAGTTAATTAACAATCCATATTATCCAAGTTTTTGATGGTTGGTTTTGTTTTCGAGAACATTTCCATTAGGTGATCCATTATTATCTTCTGAACATACCCAAAAATGACACTTTATTAGATGTCAGGTAAAACATCAATATCTATTATGTCATAACAGATATTTTCCACAGTTGTTAAGAGATAAAGAGCACTTCAGTTGTATACCATTCACTCAAAACAAATTGTCAGGCAATTATACATAATAGGGATTACAAGAGGATATACATATAGAATATTAGATCTTGTTGATAATTTCAGAATCATTTTATTTTGATGAGATACTGAAGCTGGATTGATCTTCATAAATTTTATGATTAGCCCCTTTCGGTATTAATCAACATATGCTCACTAGTGACAGGTTTCAAGAGGTATTTCCTGGAGTTCTAGGGAGAAACTATGCCTACTGGAGTTCAACCTGGTCTGTTGTAAAATAATAACTCACTGAAAACAATGGTGGACGGTGGTGCAATTTCGTGGATTGGTTGAAGTTAAACATTAACACTGTTATATACTGTCTCACTGGTCTAGAGGTCGGGCGCTCGCTCACGAGATTGATAAGTCCTGGGTTGGGTGGATACGCACTGTCGAGGAGTCCCACAATGGGACGAAACGACCGTTCAATGCTTCCAAGTTTTCCATCGTGGTCTAGCTTCAATTGATTCATGATCTCAACTATTGAAATCTGATATTTGCTGATTTACATGAACAAAGTCTAGTGACTTCTATTTTCTTGTAATAGAGTATGGTTATTGCACCACATACTAATATCAGTTGTCGCTTAATTTCCAACCAACTTCTCAGCAATAAGTTACTGAACAGTGTGTGTATAGGACAATGGAATAATGGGTTATACCTATTTTGATTTGTTATCATGGTGATTAGAGAGATAAGCCTAAATTATCCACACGTCATAAGAGCATATTAGTCTAATTAAAATCTCACATTTGACTTTTAAATAAGCGTAACATTATTATACAAATAAACTATTTAATAGTTGAATTCATGAGTTAGATCACCATTGAAAACTTGGAAGCACTGAATGGCCATTTCATCCTAGTATGGGATTCCTCAGAAGTGTACATCAACATGAACTATTATCAATCGATATTTAGAGTACGCTCACTTATTAAAAAACCAACTGTATATTCTTTGTAACAAATGGTCGGTAAACCATTTGCATGTCTAACCAGTGAAATTTCTAAAAATCTCCACAAAACACATTCTGAAAATAATAATCACCTGCTCACTAGTGACTGACTTCAGAAGACACTCCTGGAGTTCTAGTGAGTTGTTACCAGTGGAGTTCAACCAGGTCTGTTGACATATCAACTGACTGAAGACAATGGTGTACGGTGGCGCACCTTCATGGGCTGGTTGAAGTTATACATTAACAGTGTTGGATGCCGACTCCGTGGTCTTTGTTGGTTAAGCGCCTGACGCGAGACTGATAGGTCCTGGGTTCGAATCTCGGGGGGTGCGGGATCGTGGGTGCGCACTGCTGAGGAGTCCCATACTAGGACGAAACGGTCGTCCAGTGCTTCCAGGTTTTCCATGGTGGTCTAGCTTCAAATGACTCATGATTTCAACTAGTAAACTTATCCAGTCCATTCTTGAACTGTTGATAACAGCTAGAGAAATACAATATAGAAAATGTCAAATTTTCTTAAGGTATTTAGAAAATTAATTTCACTTGTAAACGTCTACATACCCTTTGTTTACTGTTTACAATAACTAACTTTCGAAAAAGAGTTTCTTCCATAGTTCATCTGTTTTCAACAGAATTCAATAAACAAAGAGTTTGAAATATTAAGTCATGACAACAATGTTAATATCTAAAGTGTCATATATGTCAGAGCTGATCATTTCTCCATTCAATGACATGAATCTATATTTTATCAGTATGGGGTTGTAGAGATCGTTAAACTTTTGATTAAGATCATGAATCGATTAATCTGGAATCACCAGTGAAAACTTAGAAGCATTGAACAGACGTTTCGTCCTGGTATGGGACTCTTCAGCAGTACGCACTCACGATCTCACACAAGGGATTCGAACCCAGGACCTTGTTACGACACATTCTCAGAAGCAGGGGTTAAATCCTAATGAAATAATGCATAAACCATTTTAGAATTTAATCACTTAGATAAATATTCATAACATGTGATAGATTCTTTAAAATTGGTTTTTCAATCAATTCAATAATTAATGTTTTCTCAATACTTTCATTTATACTACTGATGAATAACAAAATAGATAAATCTTACTTATCATTGTTTGTTTGTTTGTATTAAATAAAAGAACATTCCATTACAATTGGTAGGTAGAATGCTGTAGATTTCCCCATCCCATCTCACATGTCAAACTATTTCATTGTCTCTGTGTTGTTGTTGTTGTTGTTTTTCTTCTCTTGTTGTCGTTGTTGTTAGAATGTCGATTGTTAGTGTTTTGTTAACTCTGTGTTACTTTAATTATTCATGAATTGATGATGACTCTCCATGTAGGTAGTATTTGTATACTTTATGATTGTTGTTGTTGTTGTCGTTGTATTCCAGCTTATGTGTGTATGTGTGTGTGTGTGTGTACAGTACAGTGAGGAAGCCAGAATAATCTAGTGTGAATTATTGAATAGTGACTTAATTTAATATACATAATGATAATGTATTAAAATTTAACAAACTGTTTTAAAATGAGAGTGAAAGAAAAAAAGAACAACAACTGATGATTTGATCATAGCAATGGAACTATTCACATTTGAAATACTTTATAACTTATAGGGAAATTGATTTGATTTAACCATACAACAGTTTGTTCAATGAAATTGAATTGAAACATTAAAAAACACGAAGTTCAGCCAAGGGATCTCTTTACCAACGAATTTGAAGCTAGACCACCATGGAAAACCTGTGAGCATTGGACGGCCGTTTCGTCGTAGAATGGGACTCCTCAACAGTGCGCATCCACGATCCCACACCCCGCGAGATTCGAACCCTGGACCTACCAGTCTCGCGCCAAGCTCTTAATCAACTGTTAAAGTACTAGTTCCGTGAGGAAATGTGAACAAGAAATAACCAAGATGATATAATAGAAAGATTATAATACTAGATTAAGTAATACGATATTCAAGTATGGAATACCTAACTGCTTTCCTCTTAGAACCACACTGAGATACTTTCCCGTATCTAAGCTGAAAGTGAGCGCTGGCTACGGCCAATGTATCTGGCTCTACAAGAGCAGGTGAACTGCTAGACGATCAAACGGCGAAGCTAATCTGTTATAGATACAGAAAACAAGTTCCTACTGGTGAACGTTTTTCACAGTTTTGCTGCAATAAATGTTCTATTATTCCCTATCGTTAAACGAATTTTTGATTACATCAGATGTCCCGTCAGCTTTAAATTATAAACTTATATAAAGGTTTTTCTTTGGAACGGAACAACTAGATTCCTTGTTACAACTACTCCTTGTCATATTCTTATCTATGAAGTGGTCTGGATCACCATTTTCATATACATACGATTGTACAGCTTGATAATAAATTGGTTGAAAAAAGATCCCTTCGTTGAATTTCGTGTTATTAATGTTTAAATGGGAATTATCTGTCAATTGAAGAGATTAATTTTAACGTTATTCTTAATCTATCAGGTAATAAATAGACACTTATGGTGTGTAATATGGTTGACATGTTGTTCTTTTTCTTTTGAATTTCAATCATTGGGATAGTTTAACTGAAATTCTGTTTGCTTTATTCTAATATAAGGTAACATTACCAAATGATGGAAATGAAATAAACTTCAATTCGATTCACGAGTTAATCTGAGGTAGACCAATATTGAAAATGTGACTAGTGAATTGAACCTTTAAAATACTACAATCTCCATAAATCCCCATTCTGATGATAATCATCACGTACTCACTAGATGGATTTCCTACAGTTCTAGTGAGAAGGTGTAACCAATGGAGTCCAATCCGTGTGGAGTAGGAGTCAGTTATCCACCTCACCCAATGGATGAAATGTTGCACAGGATCATGGATCGATTGAAGTTATACATGAACACTGGTGAATGACGGCTCAGTGTAAATTGTTCACTGGTAGGATCGAAGATCCTGAATTCTAGTCCGATGTGTGGGATTGTGAATGTGCACTATTGAGGTGTGTTATACTATGACGAAACTGCTGTCCAATGCTTCCAGTTTTCCCATGATGGTTTAGCTTAGATAGGCTCATGAAATAAACTTTGGAAATACTGCAATCTCCACAAATCTCTATTCTGTTAAACAAATATTTATTAAAATATTCAAAGAAATCATAAAATTCAAATCCTTCTTAAACCGTTATTAATTATTCATACCATACATGATACATAAACATGATAGATGAAGATGGATATTCAGTGTGAACTATTGAAAAACTTCAATGTAATGGATGTACATTGGATGATGATCAACATTATCGATTGCCTTACATTATAGTGGTAAATAGTTAATGTAATTGTTAATCATCAAAGTAATTAGTCTTTAAGTTAAACTTTAATTAATGTTTATTGGTTAGTTGAAGTATTTCACTATCTTAAAGTATTCCTAGAATAATCAATACTAACCGCATAGGGTTGTGGTGATTGTTGAGTTTTTAATTGTGATCATGAACCGATCGATGTTAAACCACTGACCACGGTTGTTCAATGCTTCTAGGTTTTCAATGATAGCCTAACATTGATCGGTTCATGATCTGGATTCCTGATATTTTGTAAATCAATAACCGAAACAAAATTAACACGATTCTTTTTTTTATTGGTTGTTTGAATCTTCCCATTGATGTTTAGAACTGCAATTGATCAGTTTCTTATAGGCATATGTTGATCCTGTACGGATTGCGTCGATACTGTCTTTAGTCACAGGCATTATAAGGAGGTACGTTCAGTGGGCGAATTCAAAATAGGATAAAACGTGCATCCTGAATTCCACTGCTAACCACCATTGTCTCTGTTAAAAATTAACACAAGCTTGAATAGTACAAGGGAAACAAATCCGAATATAAAAATATCATTTAAAATTAACATTTTAATCTAGAAAGTCACCTTAGTGTATTTTTAGCAAGTTTATTATCCACGGGATTGGGTTGCTGACCTTATTGCCAACCTTTATCCTTTACCCGGACCGTGAACCGGCAATAATCTTAGAAGAGCTATAGAGTTCAATGAAGAGGGCTAATGGGCAGTCTATTCTCCTCCACGAACGATAACATGCATGATTAAGTAAGTAAGTCACTCTAGGTAGTATAACAAACTACTTAGTCTGTTTTGAAACTTCATAAAATAAACTCTGAACACAATTTCAATTTAGTCAACTAAATTCTAAATTAACTTGGTATTTTTTATGAATTTCATATTTCATTTTTTTCACCTATAAATTTCAACTTAATAAGTCATGTAACACATTGGAAAATCTTATTTGACACTTTAATAAATACGTCTTCGTGGTTTGGTTGAAGTTAAACATACCAGATCAGTGATCTAAAAGTTAAGCGTTCGTAAGCGAGATCGCTAGGTCCTGAGTTTGAATCTCGCGGGGGGCGGGATCGTGAATGTGCACTGCTGAGGAGTTTCGTACTAGGTTGAAACAGCCATCTAGTGTTTCCACGTTTACCATAATGGTCTAGCTTCAATCGACTCATGATCTCAACTATTAAAATTACTATTATATCCACAAAATCTCTTCTGATACTAATCAACATATGCTCACTAGTGACAGGCTTCAAGAGGTATTTCCTAGAGTTCTAATGAGAAGCTGTGACCAGTGGAGTTCAACCAGGTCTATTATAAGAGAGTAACTCATTGAATACAATGGTGAACGGTGATACAACTTCGCGGACTAGTTGAAGTTAGATCACTAAGCTAGCATCCAATGGTATTAATCTTTGGAGGGTCCTGGGTTCGAATCTCATGAGGTGGGCTCATTGAATCGCACTGCCGAGGAGTCCCACACTAGGACGAAACGGCCGTCCAATACGTCGAAGTTTTCCATGATGGCTCATGAAATTCTTTCTTTTTTCTTTTCTTTTATTCATATAAGATCTATTGAATAATGAAAATGAAAAGGCTAATCATTCCAATTCAATGTATTTAACAACATCATCGACATCATCATCGACATCATCATCATCGACATCGTCATCATCATCAGCATCGTCATCAGTATTGACAACAAAATTTAATAAAACGAATGATCATGAAATTTTATTTTATCATGATAATATTAATAAAAAATTAATGAAAAAATCAAGAAAAGCAAGAACTGCATTTACAGATTATCAATTAACTGAATTAGAACAAAGTTTTGATCGTCAAAAATATTTAGCTGTACAAGATCGAATGGAATTAGCAAGTAAATTAAGTTTATCAGATAGACAAGTTAAAACATGGTATCAGAATAGAAGGTAAATACATAGGATTGTTATTATTATTATTATTACTAATATTACTATTACTATTATTATTGCTCGGCGTGCCTCAGAAGATAGTCAATATCATACAGAACTCATATGATGGATTACACTGCAAAATTGTGCATGGAGGACAGTTGACAAAGTCGTTCAAAGTGAAGACCGGTGTTAGGCAAGGTTGCTTACTCTCACCCTTTCTCTTTCTCCTGGTGATCGACTGGATCATGAAGACGTAAACGTCTGAAGGGAGGCGCGGGATACAATGGACATCTAAGATGCAGTTGGATGATCTAGACTTCGCAGACGATCTGGCCCTTCTATCCCAAACGCAACAACAGATGCAGGAGAAGACGAACTGTGTGGCAGCAGCCTCAGCAGCAATAGGTCTCAATATACACAAAGGGAAAAGCAGGATTCTCCGATACAACACAGAATGCACCAATCCAATCACAATTGACGGAGAAGATTTGGAAGATGTAAAAACCTTTATGTATTTGGGCAGCATCATTGATGAACAGGGTGGATCTGATGCAGATGTGAAGGCGCGAATCGGCAAAGCAAGAGCAGCATATTTACAACTGAGGAACATCTAGAACTCAAAGCAACTGTCAACCAACACCAAGGTCAGGATTTTCAATACAAATGTCAAGACAGTTCTACTGTATGGGGCAGAAACCTGGAGAACTACAAAAGCCATCATCCAGAAAATACAGGTGTTTATTAACAATTGTCTACGCAAAATACTTCAGATCCGTTGGCCGGACACTATTAGCAACAACCAACTGTGGAAAACAACAAACCAGATCCCAGCGGAGGAAGAAATTAGGAAGAAGCGCTGGAAGTGGATAGGACACACATTGAGGAAATCACCCAACTGTGTCACCATTATTATTACTGTTATCATTACTACTGTTATTGTTACCATTATTACCACTACCATTATTAGTATTATTGTTATTACTATTAATATTACTAATAATATTACCAATATTACTATTACTATCAGTACTATTATTAATACTAATATTACTGTTATTGTTACTGGGATCATTACTATTAGTATTATTATTACTATATCATTATTACTATTATCATCACCAATATTATTACTGTTGTCATTATTATAACCATTATTATTGCCAATATGATTTGTAATATTACTTTTGCTATTAATACTATTATTATCACTATTACTTACCTACACCTGTTACTCCTAATGGGAGCATAGGCCATCGACCAGCATTCTCCAACACACTCTGTTCTGAGCCTTCTTTTCTAGTTCCATCCAATTCTTGTTCATTTTACTCATGTCTATCTCCATTTCTCGGTGTAATGTGTTCTTTGGTCTTCCTCTTTTCCTTTAACCTTGAGGATTTCATGTGAGGGCGCAGTTGGGTGGTTTCCTCAATGTGTGTCCTGTCCACTTCCAGTACTTCTTCCTAATTTTCTGCTCCATCGGAGTTTGATTTGTTCTCTCCCACAGTAGGATGTTGCTAATAGTGTCCGGCCAACGTATCCGAAGTATTTTGCGTGGACAACTGTTGATAAACATTATACTATTGTTACTATTAATACTATTGTTACTACTAATATTACTATTATTATTTATAGTTTTTCCCTTTATGAACAAGTTCATATGATCATAAATCTAGAAGTAAAGTAAATAATTCATGAATCTTTTTTGATTGAGATCATAAACCGATTGATGTTAGACCATCACAATTGAAAACCTGGAAGCACTGGACGGCCGTTTCGTCCTATTGTGGGACTCCTCAGCGGTGACCAGTGGAGCTAATCCTTGTCGGGTAGAGACAGGTATCTACCTCAGTACAACGGAAGTTGGTCTCTCAATTTCGTGGATTGCTTGATGTTAGAAACTATCACCATTGGATGCCGGGTCAGTGGTCCAGTTGGTTAAGCGTTCGCGCGCGAGACTGAAAGCCCTGGGTTCGAATCCCGCGAGCGGGATCGTGGATGCGCACTGCTGAGGAGTCCCACAATAGAACGAAACGGACGTCCAGTGCTTCCAGGTTTTCAATTGCGATGGTCTAAGATCAATCGGTCCATGATCTCCATCAAAAACTTAATAATCTCCACAACCCCTATACTAGTAATTCATGAACCATTAAAGATTCGGAAAAGAATATTCACAGTTGTGTAAATTGTGAATTTATAAAACTAGTTAGCATCTTTTAAACAATAAGTTTCAGTTTTGAGCCTGTTTCTATAGTTACTGTCAAGGAAAATGTGTCTTCAAGCGATACTGAATAATTCGCCAGATAGTGAAGCACAAGCTTACCTACTTACTGTTACGTCTTTGATCTGTCTATCCACTTTTGTGCCGAGGATACTGTGTCTAATCTAGATGTCGATCTTGACGCGATAGACTGACCGGCTTAACTTTGAGGCTAGTATGAGTGAGTTCTAAGTGGATAACAGAGACGAAAACTATTCTGTCACCTGATTGGTGAGTGAGAGAAGACAAGTCAACTGGAACACTACTCGATTAATTTCCTATTCCGATCTGGTTCCCGATTTAAGATTAGTGTAAAAGATACATGAACAAATAGATGACTAACCCATCCACAACGTAAAATAATTAGGAAAATACAATTATGTCCGAAGCTAGGAATTAGAGCAGAAAATAGAGTACAAATTATTATATTTACATTACAATAGCTTTGGAACAAAAGGACTATGGCAGTGAATCCTACATCAAACGAAAGCTTATGATCTGTAGAATAGACTAGAGACAAAAGTAAATGTTACTGTTTTACAAGCTTTGAATTAAATAAAATAACGTCCCCAAAAATAGCTTCCGTAGTTTGTCAAGACTTCTTGTTTCTCCCTTCACATCACTTACTTACGCCTGTTATCCCTCATGGAGGAGAATAGACCTCCCACCAGTACTCTCCATCCATCCCTGTCCTTAGCAATCCTTTCAAGCTCTTTCCAGTTGTTATTCATCCTTTTCATATCTGCTTCTATTTCCTGACGTAATGTGTTCTATGACCCCCCCTCTTTTCCGCTTCCCTTCAGGACTCCAAGTTATGGCTTGCCTCGTGATGCAGTTTGATGATTTGCGTATTGTATGTCCTATCCATTTCCATCGTCTTTTCCTAATTTCCTCTTCAGCTGGAAGCTGGTTTGTTCTCCCTCACAGAATGCTGTTGCGGATGGTATTCGGCCAATCGAGGTTGAGTATCTTGCGCAGACAGCTATTTATAAATCTTTGCATCTTCAAGCTTAGCAGACTGAAAAAATAGATTGTAATCTAATATGTATAATGGCTAGTAATGGAATTCAGGACGCGTGTTTCGTCCTAGTTGGGAATCGACGGCTGGATTTACCTGTATCTTATAGTCGATGTTCACTCTGGGACTTGATAACATAGGTTAGAAATTTTATATAGAGCTATTGCACTACGTTTGGTATACAATCATTCTTGGCCTGGGGTGATCGCATCTATTCGTATGTGTATACTATGGAAGGTAGGGGTCTCTATCTGTTAATTATGAATATACATGTAATACATTCTTGCGGTAGTTTTACGTTCGATATCGGCGTATTGATTATAACTCATAAGGAACCCTCAAATGCCCTGATACAGCTGAGAGTGGGAAGTATGTTTTTTCTCTCAAAAAATGCTCTCACATGGCCACGTGTATACAGCCACTGTCAGGGAAGTCCTATTGTAATAGATGAAATGACTGAAGTAGAAAAAAGGCATTATAAGCATATTCTGAATCCATAGAGTCAGTCTATTCAAATAATATTCCATGGCATTCATAGAAGGTGGTATTTAAAAGGATAGGGAAGGTTAGGCACATTCATTGATGTAGTATTAAATGTTTCTCAGACTACATTTTCTAGAGATGTCACAATTTCATTGATTATGTCATTTATATATTACAATGAAGGTTTATTTTCAATAAAAACAAATCTTTATCTTAATTATAAACAACAAGTCAAATCACAACATCAGTAACATAAATGTTCTTGACTTGAAGTTGGCCATATTCAAATTGTATTTACGGCGAGACTAATTTATGGACGACCTTTGAACGAATATTAAGCGACCTTGAGAAATATTAACCGATCAGCAAACAGTCAGTGTGGAGTAAAAATATATTATACAAAACCAAGGAAATAAAGTGGATACACTCCTTATACGTGGTTCCAAAACTTGTCATGGTAAGAAAGACGTTCCGAAGTTGTAAAACCGTAAAGCATGCAGCAAAGAAAATCATCCATACGCCTACAGAATAATCGGCCTCTGGAGTCATGATAGAGTCTCAAAAACTCTTTCAGCCTCGACCATATAGCTTCAATATTTTTTATGTGCACACCGGTTGATGAGTGCATCAAATGCTACTTGTGGATAACGACATGATGCACATAACCAAGCCTATGTAGAAGTCGGTATGCTCTCCAAATATCCGTATATATTGTAGTACCTGGCTGCAACCAGTGTTAGCGGTGCTTTTATTATCCAGTTCGCAATAATTGTCATAATTTTCTGTAGTTAGCGATTATGTATGCGGTTTTCATCACGAACTGACATCTTATACCTGATTGATTCGTTAACAAATTATAGTTCCGCCGTTTTATTTGTTATAGTCGCTCAATTACCATGTTTTGTACAAAATTCCTTGTGAACCGATCGTACATTAGCATTAAGCACTGAAGTTGGCGCCGTAACCTTGAAATCTCTAAAACGCCTCTGATTGGCTCGTTCATAAATTAGAGTCCCGCCGTATTTACTTTTCTATTCTAATATACAGAATTTCAACCTGTTTTGTTTTATTTTACCTTCATACAATCATTAATATTATAATTTAGAACAAAATGGAAACGTCAAACAGCTGTTGGTCTTGAATTAATGACAGAAGCTGAAAATTTTGTAGCAATTCAACGTTTAATAGAACAAAGTCCATTTTGGGCATATCATCCAACAGTTAGATATATTTTATCAAATATAGATCTTATTCACAAATCATCATCATCATCATCACCAACGGTTACAACAACTACATTAACAACAACAAAACCAATAACAGTTGGAATATCATTAAATAATCATGAAAAGAATTTATCATTTTTCCAAAATCCACCACCACCACCACCACCACTACCGCCATTAGCAACAACAACAACACCAACAACAGTGACAAATGAGTTGACAACAACAAGTTTAGACGTCGATAATCATCATCATCATCACCATCACCATCATCATTATAAACAACACCTTCAGAGTTCTAAGATTATAAATACATTACCAATGACAACAAACTCATTACATAATGATAATAATGTTAATATCAAATCATCATTATTATTTATTCCTTCATCAGATAATAGTACTTCATTATATACTAAATCGATTAATTCAGAACAATTAGAAATAAGAAAGAAATTCATAAATTCATCTAAAAATCAATCAATATCCAATCAATTATTTGATATACAACAATTATGGTCAATTAAATCATCTTTTAATCAATCAATCAATAATGAATGTTCACATCATCCTACATCATTATCATCATGTGTTACAAGTATTTGTAATTCTTTAATTGAAGGTACTTGAATTATTCAACTGTTGCTATATATATTCATATTTCTTAATGGTTACAAAATAAATTTTAGATTGTTTTAAACAGAATGTATTTTATCAGAAGGTGGGGGGGGGTATTTTGTGGAGATTTTAGTAAATTTATCGTTGAATTCATGAATTAATTGAAGATAGAACAGTATGGAAAACCTGGAAGTATTAGACGACCGTTTCGTTCTGAGGAGTCTCATACTAGAACGAAATGGCCGTCCAGTGCTTCCAGGTTTTCCATGATGTTCTATCTTCAATTAATTCATGAATTCAACTATAGAATGTATTTTAACAACATTTTCTGTTATTCAAAAAACATTCCTTAGAATATAAGACCATTAAATGATCCCCAATCCTAAATAGTATCTATGTAATGAATGTAGTAAACGAGAACATACAAATGGGGACAATCAAATGTATTTGAACACACGAATTATAGAAACTCTTAGGAAAATCTAAGAACCATACAGTAAATACTTCGTTTGCAAAATGTCAATCAGTCGTCTCAGATTTGATTGTTCTTTCATTTCCACATCAATCATTTTCTGTTCGCGCTCTCTTTTCTTTGATCTTCTTAATCTTCTACCGCCAGACATTTCATTTTTGATGACGATACATACTACTTATATCTGTCGATATCAGTAGCATATACCACAATATGATTAAAAGACGGGAAAGAAAACACTTTTTTTATAATTTTAAGCTATACCTTAAACCCTTGTTCAATTCAAATATAGAAGTGATAGATTTGGAATTGTATGAAAAAGGCAGTACTTATCTGAAGTTAAACTTTCAATGGACATTGTTTAGTGATTGAAACATTGTGAGGATTCATAAGAATTGAATGAGATCAAAATTGTTTCATTAATACAAACACTAATATGTTGTGTTTATATCAGAAACTCATGATCAAGAAGAAGGAAGAAACTTCAGTAAGTCTTCATAATGGACAACACAGAAGTTTGAATCAATAATTATCATAGTGGTTAATTATTCTATGCATATTTGAATAACATATTGTTCAGTCACATTATGTATGATAGAGTTCAGTAAGATTACAAACACACTGTTATCTTAACACTCATTTTGAGGTTAATAAATGTGTATAACATGTAATAAATTGTACTGGCTTCTGTGATTATAATCATCATATGGTCACTAGTGTCTGTCTCCATGATGTATTTCTTGGAGTTCTAATGAAAACAGTGACCAGTGGAGTTCAACCGGGTCTGTTGTGAGATAGTAACTCACTGAAGACAATGGTGGATGTATCGCTCAATTCTGTGGATTAGTTGAAGTTAGACGCCAGCCAGCTCATTGGTCTACAGATTAAGCGCTTGCGCGCTAGACCGAGAGATTCTGGTTTCGAATCCCGTGGGTGGAGCCGTGGATGCGCACTTCTGAGGAGTCTCATACCAGGGCGAAACGACCATCAAATACTTCTAGGTTTTCCATGGTGGTCTATCTTTAATTGACTCGTGAATTCAACTATTAAAGTTACTGTAATATCTGTAAAACCCCTCTCTGTTTGACTTTATTTGCTTGAATTGTCATCTTTGTTCCAGCATAATTTGAGTTATTCACTGATTTAGATCTGAACTAATAGACACAAATCTAGAGTTACTGAAATGTAATATAATTTAGCCGAATCACTCTGTAATGGTAACACTGTGGTGAAAAACTACTTAATGAAGCGTCATCGTATTCAGAGTGACAATTATAACGTCGACGATTGTGTATGTAAATACGAATTTAACTAAAGGCACTCATAGTAAGACTGATCAAGAATTAAAGATAATTCAGCGGAATACATGTATATGGTTATTAGCTCATATATAATAAGTAACTGTTGAACCTTAAGAAGTACTGGGTAGTTAATTTATGCTTCTGTATAGCCAATCAACAGTCCGTGTCATTGTTATCATGGTATAGAATAGAAATGCATGAAATACGGTGTTAAGTATATTATTAATAAAATGAAGGTTTATTCTCACTAGTGACTGGCTTCAAGATGGATTTCCTACAGTTCTAGTGAGAAGCCGTGACCATTGAAGTCCAATCCGTATGGGATATGAGACAGTTATCCACTTTAGACAATCAATGAGTGATTGCGCAAGATCATGGATTAATCAAATTTAGACATTGACACCATTGGATGCCAGCTCAGTGTTCTAGAGGTTGAGCGTTAACGTGCGAGACCGAGGGTCCTGTATTCGAGTCCCTTTGGTGAACGATCGTGAGTGCACATTGCTGAGGAGTTCTATTTTAGGACGAAACGTCTGACCAGTGCTTCCAGGTTTTCAGTGGTGGTCAAGCTTAGGTTGACTCATGAATTCAACTATTAAAAACATATTATTGTTTGAGCAATTTATTCAAATCCACTCGTATAAGTTTCTGACTATTTCAAATTTAGCAAACTGTTTTTTAAAAAAACTCTAGTTACCGAATAGTAGTGGAGGAGAAATCGTTGGCATGAAAACATTCAAGTTTTTCTACTAGTATTTCTGTAGGTTTGTTACTAAGCCCTCATTGATAAAATGTGTTTAGTGTATGTGAAAATCAAATAATCATAGGGATTGTCTTAACCTTCTTCATACATAAAGTATTGAACTATCCATTTAACATGTTTATCAAAGACCCTATCCATCTCTCTTTATACTCATTGGGTTGAATAACTTGCACAGTGTTCTGCAGTTTTCGGTGGTCCATCAGTTAATATCAATCTTGTTGAAAGAGCTACTTGAAAACTGTTTACAACAGATCTCTATAACTGAGCAAAGATAAATGGTGGCTAGCAGTGAAATCAAGGCCGCGCGTTTCGTCTCAGTTGAAACTGGTCAGTTGAATGTACCTGCATCCTAGGGTTGATATTTTCTTCGAGACTCGACTCCAGTACTGCCCGCTTCAAGCGTCATCACATTATCCACTTAGTGCATCCTGGATTCCATTTGTAGCCACCATCCATTTCTGCTTAAAATATTTGTGACTCAATGACAATATGTAGGCAACCTGCACAGAATGCACATATATCAATAAGAGACTGATCAATTGCAGTGCCAAACATCAATGGGAAGATTCAGGTAAACAATACCAAGTGAATTTAAACTTCACCCCATTACACAAGCAAGTGACTATCAGGACTCAGTAGTAGTAGACTAAGTGAACGTCAACTCTGAGATTCAGGTAATATATAGCCGACGAATTCTAAATAGGACGAAACATACATCCTGAATTCCAATGCTAGCCACCATCCATCCTCGATGACAATATCAGGGCAATCCACATACGATACACATATATCAATAAGAGACTGATCAATTACAAGCCTAAACTTTAAACTCTCTTCCACTTTTCATTGGTTTAATTAATCTCATCAATTAAATCATTTATAATACATAGAGAAGTGTAGGCAATTATGTTATCCGCTATCATTTAATCGACAGTTAACATATTCATTCTTGCTCTATTTAACATAATAAAGGGAACTATGTGTGTGTATGAAAAAAGTGATTATCAAAAGGTAACTCATATATGAAAAAGAGGATAAAGACAACAGAAACACAATCACTATGATAATATTCTATAATTCTTTTCTTCTTTTCTTTTCTTTTTCTCACAGATATTTCCTATTCAATGATTGACAGAATAAATCATAGAGAGTTTCAATGAATTCCCATAGTAATAGTAATAGCAATAGAATTAGATATATTGAATAGGCATGACACCGTGAGATGTTTAACAATCAACCATTATACTCATTGTTAAAACTAACTCCAACACACACACACACACATACACATACACACACACATACACATACATATACCATACACATGAACACCTTCATTGAGCTATATGGAATTATAAAGTAAAGTTATTAAATGATCAGTGTATAATAGTAAATTACCAATTTCTATTTCATTCACAACAGTTAAGATGCTTTTTATACTGTCAATCATGATTATTTTCTGAAACATTATACAAATATAGATTAAAAATCTCCACAAACCCCTTCTGATAATAATCATCTCCTCACTAGTGACTGACTTCAAGAGATACTCCTGGACTTCTAGTGGGAAGCCGTTACCAGTGGAGTACAACCAGGTCTGTTGTGAGATATCAGCTCACTGAAGACAATGGTATATGGTGGCGCAACTTTGTGGATTGTTTAAAGTTAGACATTAACACCATTGGATGCCGGCTCAGTGGTCTAATGCTTAAGTGCTCGCGCGCGAAGCCAGTAGGTCCTGGGTTCGAGCCCCGCGTGGTGCGGGATCGTGGATGCGCACTGCTGAGAAGTTCCATACTAGGACGAAACGGCCGTCCAGTGCTTCCAGGTTTTCAATGGTGGTCTAGCTTCAACTGACTCATGATTTCAATCTGTGAAAAATTCTAAAAATCTCCACAAACCCCTTCTGATAAACTGTAATGGTTTGTTAAAGTATTTCACTAATTCCACATTATTTATTCTGAATAAAAATGTAGCGATGATATTTGATAGAATGTTTTATTAATTGAATTCATAAGTCGATTTAAAGTAGAACATTAGTGAAAATGTGGAAGCATTGAATGGACGTTTTGTCTCGGTACAGTACTCCTCGGAAGTACAAAAAAAATGACTCAAATCAGAGACCTTCAGTCTCGCGCACGGATACTTCATGTGTAACTTCAATTGACCATGATCTTGTGCAATAATCATGTGCTTACGAGTGACTGGCTTCAAGATGGATTTCTTACAGTTCTAATGAGAAGCTGAAACCAGTGGAGTCCAATCTGTGTCGGATATGAGACAGTTACCTATCTCAGATAATGAATGAAAGATCGAAGTTAGATATTAAAACCATCGGATGCCGGCTTAGTGGTCTAGAGGTTGAGTGTTCTCACACTTGACTGAAGGTCCTGTCTTCGATTCCAGGAGTGAATATCAACTATGAGATACAGGTACATTCAGCCGACAAGTCCCAAATAGGATGGAACTTGCGTTCTAGATTTCACTACTAGCCACCATCCATCTCTACATATAGTGCTTACGACCTAGTGACAATATCGAGGCA